GGGTTTATAGAATACTATGACCTCATAGGATTTGCTATGTGTAAGACATATTCTTTTACAGTTGCTCTTATTTACTGTTAAACAATGTTATCTCAGGAGTTTCATCGATACCCAGTTTCTCTTCCTATCTACAAGGTTCATTGTGCCAAGTGCTGCCATGATTATTACGTGGGTATGAAATAAAGTTTGTTCCGACGTTTCACAATAAGTTTTCTCTCAAGTTGAACTAATATGAGTACCACCCATCCTTAGTTGTAAACCAGCAAATACTAAGAAAGGTGCGTTTTTCTTCCTTAAACCATTATAACCTCATTTTGGAAATGTATAGCTGAGGAGTTGGGGGACGAAAATTGACTATTTGAAGTAAAGAGCAGCATACTACTTCATTATATTAACAGAAGACAAGCTCTTTAAGCCAAAGATGAATTCATTATTCTGCTTAGTTAAAAACTAGTATAAATAAAAATCATTAGGCTAGCTGTACCATACACCAGAAAAGGAGGAACTATGCATTAGAGACCCTTTAGTGGGGATGGGCCTATTCACGATACTGCATTTGAGAGAGAATGACTATTTGGTTAGGATCTGAAGGCCAACATGCTTCACAAGCTATTGAGTCCGTAGCCTAAAAACATTTAGAAGGTTTGTAATATCCCCTTGTATGACACGTTTTTCATAATTTTTTCCTGTTTGGGCGACTGAGGCTGTTTGTTGAGGATATAAGTGAGTCTTTAATAGGTCGCAGGTACTCCACGGACTGTTTTGTATTTCAGGGACCGGTGGCTGAGCTACCCAGATGCTTTGAAAAAAGATAACTTGATTCGCGAGCCTTAGTAAGCTTAACTGCCTAAGAAATAATTTTGTATGATCTTTTCTAAGATCTAACAAGAATTCCACAACTAAAACATAAGACATTGGAGAAATTGTCTAAGAGGAATCAACTTTCGACGAGACATTGAAATAAAGAGGCGCGATATTTCTAAATGGTTCAGAATATGGGGAAACAGAGCAAGCACCACAAATTCAGAGACAAGGCTAATTGAGAAAATGCAACTATTCAAGATATTAAATGGGGCATCATAAACATTAATGATTGGAAGAAGGGCATGCCTAGTAAATAAACGATAAGGGGGGTAAGGGAGATAAAGTTTTGGTGATTGTGAATCCATAGGCACTAGCATTTATTATTTCACTTATGGCTTAATCCTTCAGTTATCACAAGTGCCGATAATGATGGTTCCTGCACTGATGAAGCGTCGTCCAGACTGCTAATGAAGTTAGTACCTAACTTCATCAAAGTTACATTCTTCCAAACTAGATAGAAAGGTCTAGTTCATCTAGTTTGAAAAAAGGCCTTGAGACAACCTAGGACACTTTAGGTGATGGAAGGTATGAAAATCAAGTTTATCACATCGTAAGGACTGGAGGGTCTCACGGAGTTAAATATGTCCTGCCTCCAAAAAGGTTTTCTTACCCCGACTGTTCTGGCGTTTCGACGTTACTCGGGTGCCACCAGCAGCCACAAAGGAGTTTGAAACCAAGTCAC